AAATGATAAAGACCCAATACCAATTAATTACAGATATGATTAGATGTATTGTGCCAAATTTCATACTAACTACGCAAAAGAGAAGGAACACATTAGGAATTAGTGGCATGAATAAATGAAATAAATAAATAAATAAAAAAGAAGAAGGAAAGTTTGTTTAGCTTTTCCATGCTTTTTAGTATTAGACATTCTTGTACATATAAGTAACAAAATTGTAAACCAATTCGTATTTTGATTCCATCGTGAAACCGTCAATATCACTATTTGAAATTTAAGTAAGGGATTACAATGATTCAAACTCCAAGCATTGGAGACTAATAATTCAAAGTTAAAATAGTTGTTCTAAAGAAAATTTGATTTTGACCGTGCAGGTCAATTGTCCTAAATCTTCTCAAAATGGCCTTGTTCAAAAAAATTTCTATGTTTTTCGTGAACACATTTCTCATTCATTTTTTTACCTCACATTTATCAAATCGCTACGATACATTTTCTACAAAAACTCCAGAAAATTGCAATCAATCTGCTCAAAATTAGAAACTTTGTGAACATTTACTTTCGTCTAAATATAAAGGGACCAATTTGGCGCACGCACTAAACATTAATGATCTTTTCAGGACTTTGGAGGGGCCAATTTGTGAACCTCGTGAACACATTTCTCAATTATTTTTTTACCTCATATATATTAAATCGCCACGGTACATTTTCTACAAAAATTCCAGAAAATTGCAATCTAAATCCGCTCAAAATTAGAAACTTTGTGAACATTTATTTTCGTCTAAATATAGAGGGGCCAATTTGGCATACACAGTAAACATTAAGGATCTTTTCAGAACCTTGGAGGTGAAATATCCAAATTTTGAGTTGGGTACCATTTCCATATGATATTTTAAAGAATTTGCAAGTCTCAACCGTCCCGGTTCCATCTAAATTTCCGTGTTAGTCAATCAAAACTTGAAGAACGGATTTGTCTTAATTACATTTAATCTAAAAGGAAATTTCGTCGTCACTTCATTTGAAAAAATACGCACAAAAACGCCCGCAGTAAACGCCCTCCGTTTTTCCCATTGGAAGACTTTCTCCATTTCTCCAATCTCGCCAGAAAAAGAAACCCACCAAGAATCAACACGTTTTCCACCTAAAAATTTTTTCTGTTACTTTCACACAGGAGAATCGAATTCAAATACTTCAATTTTCTGCTTTTCAATCAGACTTACGGCTATTTGATCAACCATCAAGAACTTGGGTTCAACCAGCAAACAGAGTTCTTTCTCTTATGAAGCCTTGGAGCCATTAATTGGAGGAGGAAAAAGTTTTTAATAAGCAGCTGAGAATCAATTTCATTCATGGAGGCTGGCAGTAGTGGCGGACCTGGCGGTGGTCTTCTGACTAAGATCAAGGCGCCCTTTCTTTCTTTCCTTGTTTAGTACTCAAATTTGATTATGCTCATATTTTCTTGATTTATTTCTTGTTATTGTAGTTTTAGTACAATTTTTTTTGTCATATAATAATATTATCATCTTTCACTATATGGTGCATGTGGATATTGTTTGATATGGGCATGCTTAGGAAACTGGTATCATGGTACATAGATTTCTAGTTTGACTGCTGTATGCTTGTTTGTTTCCCTTGGTGTTGCTAGATACAAATTAATGTTACCTACATGCTTGAATTGGTTGTTGAAATTTATGGTTTAGAATTGTTATCTGATGACTAGTTTTCTACGTTTTTTGTGGGTACTGTAGAAAGCTGCTTGTCTCGATTTTTCTCCGCCAGACACGGGAAAGGGAAAAAGCAAGGTATCAGGCAGCAATTGTAAGCTAGCTCATGGGTTCCACTTGGTTGAAGGACAATCAGGACACTCCATGGAAGATTACCATGTTGCTGAATACAGGAAAAGGGGTGGTCATGTACTCGGACTCTTTGCAATCTTTGATGGGCATCTTGGTGATCGTGTCCCTAGTTATTTGAAAGATAATCTCTTCAATAACATACTTGAACAGGTATGAATCTGTCCTTGCACATATGAATGCGATTATGTGCATTTTAGATTTTTCCTATCCTTTTACTTCGTTAATTATAGTTTGGAATCATCTCTTCTTTGTGAAGTTATGCATTAACTAACTCAAGGTGTACATGATACGTTTTCCAACATTATACTGATCACATGCTAAGCCAAAACTTCACTCTAACTTTTGAAGAACCTAACTTTGGGAATCAACTTCGGTTCCTTGTTTGTTGTTTTTGGACAGCCTAACTTTTGGGATTACCCTGAGCTTGCTATTAAAAATGCTTATCGCTCCACTGATGACCTTATATTGGAGAATACCAGACAATTTGGCCCTGGTGGCTCAACAGCAGTGACGGCTATTGTCATTGATGGAAAAGATTTATGGATAGCAAATGTAGGAGATTCAAGAGCTGTTGTGTGCGAGAGAGGTGCTGCCAATCAAATTACTGTTGACCATGAGCCACATAGTGAACGAAGAAGGATTGAGAAGAAGGGTGGCTTCGTGACTACTCTTCCTGGTAACTTTGCATAAAAATGATGTAAAAGTATGCTTCTTTACCGTACTTTCTCCAGCCAGTAGCAACTTAAAAATTCTTGTTTTAGGAGATGTGCCTCGAGTGAATGGCCAACTTGCAGTTGCACGTGCTTTTGGAGATCAAAATTTGAAAGCTCATTTGAGTTCTGAACCAGATATACGACATGTTCCTATTGATAGCACAATAGAGTTTGTCATATTGGCAAGTGATGGCTTATGGAAGGTTGGTTTTCTAAACACTATTCAGAACTTTAAGCATATTTGTGTCTTCTGTTTGAATTTTTCATCTTTCTCCCTTTGGATGGAAGGTCTGATGAAAACATCCTTAAGAAGCTCAAGTAGAAATTGTAGTTTTTAAGGCTAAAAGTTCATGTATAGATTGTGAATGGTTGTGATTTGGCTTGGTTTTGGTGTTTGTTTTATGCTGGTCTCGATTAATGAAAGCATTGGTTTAAAACGCTTATTTTGATCAACCTTTTAAATCCTCTAGGAATCTTTGATTGAAATAAATGAAGATCATAACAAAGGGAAGTAATTTTCATCTACAAAAATCACTATGTTTTGATGAAGTTGAAGGCTTTAAAGAAAGTTGTACAAGTAGCACAAGCATCTAATCTATCTTCATCCTTAAGGTGTTAATCCTCAACTAGAGCATCTAATGAATGGAGATCAGGACATAAATACAGGGTGGTTCTTTGTGCACTTTATATAAATCTTACATGTTGGATATGAGATGGTTTTTTTTCTTTTTTTTTTTTGGGGGGGTGGGGGAATACGATATGGTTATTTAGTCATCTATATAGGCCTCATCAAGCAGTTTACTCTAGAGCATACCTTTTGTTGTCTTATTCCTAGAATCAGTTTCATAACTTTCAGTACTTTGCGATAGTTTACAGATTTTAACTTCTTGAATTGAATGAGCGTTTATGCGTACATTTTGAACTTCTAGAACATGGATAATTCACCCAAAGAATGTTGTTGAAATCTACAATTTGAAGAAGCAAATGGCATTGCAGGTCATGAAGAATCAAGAGGCAGTGGATCTGGTGAAATCCATCAAGGATCCTCAAGCAGCTGCTAAGCGTTTGACCATGGAGGCATTAGCAAGAAAGAGTAAAGATGACATTTCATGCATTGTAATTCGCTTTGGATGAAAGCTAAGAGACCGGGCAGGATCTTTTAGCAACTACTCAAATCGCTGCGTGTTGTTGCGTTGTTAGGTTCTTTCCATTTCAGTAAACCATTTTGATTGAGATGTTAGGGTTGAGGGATATTTCATTGTTTGCATAGATAGTACATAATAGAAGGTGAGTCAAACAGGCAGTTTTCACTTAGTATTGTGTTATTGCACAAGTGCATACTTCTTTCTAGGGTGGCATTTTTGCTGCCTTATCCTGTTTTTTGGATGTAAATTTGTTGATTGTTTGAGGTGAAACTTGCAGTTTGCACTTGTATATATATGAATTAGAGGGTAATGACTTGCAGTTATTTCTAGGAAAGAAACCCCATTTTGCTCTTTTTTTGTCTTCATAGAACATAAACTATTTATCAAGACATCAGCCAAAAAGAATAGGCTGAATAAAGTGTCTACTGTCCTCTCCAACCCTATGATTCTAACTCTCAAACATGGTTCAAAGTCGCAGTCGCGGTCAGGACCGTTTCATATTGATGTCGGCACATCGATTACAATCTCGTCGAGATGCAAATTTTGAAGCATTTAATATTTTAAAAGTTATGAATAATATCAAAAAGTATGTTAAACAAAAATAATTAAAAAAATTAGCAAAAGAAAATCTATAAAATATAAATTTACGAGTTGACTCCAGATGATTCGGGTAGACTCGATCGAGACTATCCGTATCGAAAACTTCTTCGATGAGTTTTTAGTGACTCGGTCGAATTATCGACAAATCAAGTATTTCGGTGTCATTCCGTCAAATGAGTTCTCAGTGATTCGGCCGAATTATCGACAAATCAAGTATTTCGGTGTCATTTCATCCTGGAGGGATTCTGTCCCAATATCGTAGCGAAGGGATCCGTTGCACTGTTCGCCAACAATCATGCCTACTTACAGGTTGGTAGGATTGGAAGTTTCAGAATGGAGTTTGATTGTATACAAGCCATTTCCAGGAAGTTTCAGAAGCGAACCGATTTGGCTGTGACGGCGGCCGACGACCGAGTTGCCCGTTTGACTCTGTATTTTCGCGTTTCACTATCACCATCACCCAGGAATCTTTCCACTCCAGGTTGAACGAATCAAATTAGAGACAAGAACCACTAAAACGATGGTCCTACTAATTTTTTTATAAACATCTTTGTTACATAAGAAAGTGATCACAAAATTTGTTTTTATTAAGGAATGTAATATATAATAATTTTATGATTGAAAAATTTGTTCACGGAGATTTCTAATTCTGACGTACTATAATTTTTGAACAACGTAAACTCACTTGATCATGAATCAATTCATGGATATAGTAAATAAATTTCAATTATACACAATAAACATATGTATAACAAATAATACAAATGTTAACCCCACCCCCCCCTCTCTCCCCTTGGGTTGTTTTGACACAACACAAGAAACTCAAAAATGAGTTTTTTTTTTTTTTTACCCTAATCAATTTTGATTAGGCCCCCAAAGAAATGAAAACAAAAAATAATAATAATAATAGCCCAAAAAAATTCATATGAGACTACTTTTATCTCTAATATAAAAATTATTGCTCAAAACTAGAAAGCAGCCTCTCAAAAGTCAAACCCAAAATTCAACCACTTTGAGCCCTCCTTTGTAACTTTGCTATTTGCATGCATGCAAATGAATCCCCATCCAAATCCTCTCACTGCAAAAAAAAAAAAAGGGCCAGCGAAGAGAATATATGTTATTAGTAAATTTATATGCACAAAATTGATGTTTCTTTTCTGGCAAGAGTATGTATTGATACTAGGATGGAGATGTGGAGATTATTATACCTTGAGAAGGGTTCAATAGTATGGAATTGTAGGTGGTGGCGGTGATGCATAAGAGACTCCTGTTATTGGAGGAAGGGGAACGTTCATCTCGGGTGGCGGCGGTGATGGATGCACGTATGGTGGAGGTGGGGATGGTGATGGCGGCGGTGGGGACGAATAAATGTATGGAGGCGGTGGCGATGGTGATGGAGGTGGCGGTGATTTATATACATATGGAGGAGGTGGCGATGGTGATGGTGGTGGTGGGGAGGTGTAGTGATATGGAGTACTGGGTGGTGGAGGAGATGGAGGTGACTGCCAATGATGTTCAATAGGTGGTGGTGGTGGTGGGACAGGTTCGTTACATTCAGGTGGTGGTGGTGGTGGTGGTTCATTACATTTGTAGGGTGGCGGTGGTGGTGGAAGAGGATGCGATGGGTTTGGTGCATACGCTCCTGGTGAAGGAGCTGGAGTAGTTGGCGGTTTATGTTCAGGTGGAGGAGGAGGAGGAGATGTTACATAAACAGGTGGTGGTGGTGGAGGCGGCGGGGCTTGATAAGTTGGTGTTGGAGTGTAAACCGGCGGAGGAGGTGATTTAGGCTGATAAGTAGGAGGTGGGGGCGGCGGAGCATGATAAGTTGGTGCTGGAGTGTAAACTGGCGGTGGAGGAGGTGCTTTAGGTTGATAAGTAGGAGGTGGGGTCTCTACCGGTGGAGGTGGCTGGTAGTATACCGGAGGTGGTGGTGATGGAGATGAATGTACGGGCTCGGGGTTCACCGGTCCAGGAG